AACCTTGCTTTCTGAAAGCCAAGAGTACTTATAATACTAATGGAGATCAAAGATCACAGCCTTTGGTAAGGGCTGCACTTCAATGTAGAGGGAAAAAAATCCTCACCTCTGGAACAATTAATAACATCCACATAAATGGAGAAAAGTTTAAAGTTATCAAAGACTTCATTTTGCTCAGATCAACCATCAACACTTATGGAAGCCGCAGTCAAGAAATCAAACAACATATTACACTAGACAAATCTGCAGCACAAGACTTCCTGGATGTTAGTTTGAGGACTACAGTACACCTGACCCAAGCCATGGTCTTTTCAATAACCTCATATGCATATGAAAGTTGGACAGTGAATAAGGAAGACTATCGAATTGATGCATTTGAGCTATGATGTTAGAGGAGAATATTAAAATTACCATGGATTGCCAAAAGAGCAAACAGATATGTGTTGGATGAACAGTCAGAGTGCTCCTTGGATGCCAGGAAGGCCAGACTTCGTCTCTCATACTTTGGATATATAGTCAGGAGAGACCAGTCCCTGGAGAAGGATACCATGTTTGATAAAGTGGAGGGTCGAAGAAAAAGAGAAGACCCCCAACTAGATGGATTGGCATACTGGCAGCCTCAATGGGCTCAGGTGTAACAATGGTTGTGAGGTTGGTCCAGGACTGGGCAGTGTTTTGTTCTGTTGTGTATAGGGTTGTTATGAGTCAGTATTGACTCAATGGCACATAACAGCAACAACATGATTCCAAAGGGACTCCACAGTATGTAACAACAATAACAGTGTGCTGCAGTAGAGTTTTGCTGCATCATGTTCAAACGTTAGAGGTTTATGATTGCAACACAACTAAAAATAAAAACTTCTATTGCCTTTTCTATATACTGTTGTAAACATAGTACATATGATAATAAAGTGGGAGAGTGATGTTGTTGTTTTATTGCTAGGTGCTCTTAAGTCAGTTGTAACTTATCACAGTCCTGTGTACAAAAGAACAAAACAACACCTGGTCCTGTGTCATCCTTACAATTATTGTGGCTAGTTTGAGACTATTTTTGCAGCCAATGTGTCAAACTATCTCTTTTTCACAGACCTCTAATTGACAGAGAATGAAGCCTTTCTCTAGGGGCTGGCCTTTCTTCATAAATGTCCAATCTCACCATCCTAATTTCTAAGGCATATTGTAGCTTTACTTCTTCCAATACAGCATTGCTTATTCTTCTGGCTGTCCATGGTGTATATTCAATGTTCTTGGCCAGTACCGTAACTTAAAGGTATGGATTCTTCTTTGGTTTTCCTCATTCACTGTTCAACTTCCACATGCATATGAGGTGAATAAATATACCATTGTTGGGGTCATGTGTACCTTAATTCTCAAAGTGACATATTTGCTTTTTAATACTATAAAGAAACCTTTTGTAATTCTTATGATTCAGTAGTGAGTAATTGTTATCATGACTAATTGCAACTGTCACAGCTATAAAGGTAGAAGAAGTTCTATAACAAAAAAGGGGGCAGTAGTTAATCTTACAAGGAGCTCTGGTA